TTTTTTTCTGAAATAAATGATATATTAAGGTCTGTTATCATCATCATCATCATCATCATCATCATCATCATCATCATCATCATCATCATCCATATCTATAAAAGTACATCTACAAAGAACATTTCATACATTTTTCGTATGTGTTTGTGTCTAATTTTTTTTTCTTCCGTTTTGCCCTGGTACTCTCATGGATATAAACAACTTCAAAAAAACAACAAAACAGGTTTATCCCAAAATATATCTTTGTTAAATATTGGTGTGCAAGAATTATTCACACCCTTTTAGACAATACTTTGTGCTACCTCCCTTTGCCAAGGTAACAGCTCTTCTCCTATAATGTCTGATGAGGTTGAAGAATACATGGCAAGGGATCTGAGACCATTCCTCCATACAGAATCTCTCCATATCCTTCCAATTTCAAGTTCCATGCTGGTGGACTCTCCTCTTCGGTTAACCCAACAAGTTTTCTATGGTTTTAAATCAGGGCACTGGGATGTCCATGGCAGGACCTTGATTTTGTAGTCAGTAAACCACTTTTGTGTTGATTTTGATGTATGTTTTGGCTCGTTGTCCTGCTGGAAGATCCAACCGTGGCCCATATTAAGCTTTCTGGGAGAGGCATTCAGGTTTTCATTAATATCTGTTGATATTTGATAGAGTCCATAATGCTATGAATCCTAACAAAATGTTCAGGTCCTCTGGCAGAAAAACAGCCCCAAAACATTAAAGAAGCACCACCATATTTAACCGAGGCATGAGGTAATTTTCCTTATGGCTACCTCTCTTATGCGCCAAAACCCACCTCTGGTGTTTATTACTTAAAAGCTTTATTTTGGTTTCATCTGACAATATAACCTGATCCTATTTAAATTTTCTGTAGTGTCTAGCAAACTGAAGTGATTAGCTTTGTTTTTGGATGGAAGTAGAGTCTTTTTTCTTTAAACCCTTCCAAGCAACTTGTGGTAATGTAGGTGACTGTAGGATTGTAGGATTGTAGTTTTGGTGACTTTCTGATCCCAAGACATTTTTTGGCCACTCGAACCATCCTCTTCACAGTGCATTCAGACAATATAGACACAAGTCCAATTCCAGGTTGATTCATAACAGTCCCAGTTGACTGGAACTTCTTAATTATTGCCCTGATGGTGGAAATGGGCATTTTTAATGCTTGTGCTATTTTCTTGTAGCCACTTCCCATTTTGTGAAGATCAAAATCCTTTTGCCACACATCACAGCTATATTCCTTGGTCTCACCCATTGTTATGAATCAGTAAGGGAATTTGGCCTATGTGTTGCCTCATATTTATGCCCCTGTGAAAGAGGAAGTCATGGTTGAATAATTTCCTGTTCATAGTCACACAGGTGTACTAAAACTAAAAAAATGTAAATAATAGTGGAATATCTATTAATTTTGATACAGGCTTCAAATAATATTGTTGCACACTATTCGTTTTCTTAAAAATAAAAATAATTTTTTTTTAAAATTTTTTTTTTGAAATATTTGATATCCATGAGAGCAGAGTATTTTTGTGATTTTTTAAAAAATAAATATTAATTTTAATTGATTTTTTTTTTTTTAGCGTTCTTGTATCAGGGTTTGCCTGTTGTGCATAGTATTAAGTCATGTACTTGTTTATATAGTTTGTCGTTACGTGTGTGTGTGATGTGCCATATTTCCTGTTAAAGTCTATCACAACCTTGCGATGTCTTACCGATCCTGCCATGAGAATGATTTCAATATGTTCTTCTTTTGTCAAAGTCATTCTTAAAGGCTATCTGAAAAAAATATATAAACTAGATATGAAAAATGTAGGAAGACATTTTGTTAATAAGTGTTAATTTCCCTTAGGTATGGAGAATGTTGGCACACCATGTATATTACAATCTAAGTTCCATTACTTTTTGGCTACATTAGCATCAAGCTCTAAGAACAAATAGAACATTGTTACATTACTATTAATGACAAGTTTCCTACTGTGTAAATATTTTAGGATTTTTCATGAACTTTTTGTTTGTTATTTTGTATTGTGATATGCAAAATGTTACTGGTATGGTGTAAATATGATGCAATCTCTTGACAGAGAGGAGATGCACCTCCAGATCCTAAAAGCTTTTGTGGAACTTCATGAGTTTTCAGACCTCAACCTTGTTCAAGCACTGAGGTTAGGATCAGATTTTTAATAATTTAAAAATGTTGGTTGAATACATTTTATAATTAAAACAAATTATTAGCATTGGCAAATTGTTGTGCTAAGAGAAATAAAAGATGACCGGGCATGTTATAGGAAAATATTCAACCACTGGATGGTGTGATGTGGCCTGATGCAAAGCAGGTTTACTGTTACCACACAGAAATAAATTATTTTCTAATAACAACACATCCAAAACTTTTTCATTGCTCTTATACCTGAGCAATGTGCCAAGATTATACTTATAATATATTGATAATACTCATACGTTAAGATAAAGTCTAGACATATAATTACATAAGAAACTTAGAAAAGTCTTCTGTGTCTTTAAGGCAATTCCTGTGGAGTTTCCGCCTTCCTGGTGAGGCGCAAAAGATTGACCGCATGATGGAGGCCTTTGCCACTCGCTATTGTGAATGTAATCCAGACGTCTTCCAGTCCACTGGTGAGCAAACATCTTTTAGATTTATTTTACATAGGGAATGTGAGTGACAATTAAAGCTCCTAAAAGATCCCAGCATCCATTTTGCTCTAGAGTTTGTATAGCATACCAAAGCAGAAAAAAAACTGATCATAAATGTATGTAATATATTTTCAGACACATGTTACATCCTCTCATTTGCCATCATCATGCTGAACACCAGCCTGCACAATCCCAACGTGAAGGACAAGACCACGCTGGAGCGCTTCTTCAGTATGAACAGAGGCATCAACAACGGCGAAGATCTTCCCAATGAGCTTCTCACGGTCAGAGCCAATCACCCAACCACACTCAGCTCTGACAGGCTACATACAACTTGCATCTAAAAGAAATAAGGAAATGAAAATGATTTAATGAGGAAATGGTAAAGGTGACGATAACAAAAGATGCCGTTTTGACTAGCAGAAATACCACTTTACCAGTTAGATTCTGAACTCATATTACTTTCTGTGCGGAGTTTCACATGTTCTCACTGTGTCTACATGGGTTTTCTGACACAAGACTGCCACACACCACACACATTGACAATATACAGTACTTTTTTTTTTATTTGAATGCTTGCCATCTTTTTTAGAGATAAACAGCATATTAATCCCTTCTTTTGCTTTTTAACACAGTATCATGATCTTTTCAGAATGAAAATTTAAGTTCTCACTGAGCATTCAGATTAAGTATTGGAATGAATCTTTGGCATCAGAGAGTTCCTCCATACCCTCATGTGTTCCTCTTTTGTCACCTCTCCCCACAGAAACTGTACGAGAGCATACGAAATGAGCCATTCAAAATCCCAGAGGATGATGGGAACGATCTGACACACACTTTTTTCAACCCTGACCGGGAAGGTTGGCTTCTCAAACTGGGTAAATACGTCTAGCTTTTACTTAATATATTACAGGTGCATCTAAAAAAATTATAATATCATGAAGATGGATGGATGGAAACGTTTTTTCCCCCCTAATTTATATTTTTTTGATGTAAAAATATTTTTTTCTCGTAATTTCATTCAAAAAGTGGAACTTTCATATATTCTAGTTTCATTGCACATAAAGTGAAATATTTCAAGTTGTTTTTGTTTTAATCTTGATGAATACAGCTTACAGCTCATGGAAATCAAAAATCCCGTATCTCAAAATATTTGAATAAAGAATTTATAATACAGAAATCTTGACCTGAGAAGAGTTGTATTCAGCTAATTAAAAGGAGCCCCGACCAAGTATTATGTGAATAAATTAACATACTTTTCAGAAGGTTGACATTTCTTTATGTCACAAATTCTTTATTTTTGAGATAATGGATTTTTGATTTCCATCAGCTGTACGCCGTGACCATCAAGATTAAAACAAAAAAGGCTTGAAATATTTCAATTTATGTGTAATGAATCCAGAATATATGAAAGTTCCAATTTTTTAATTAAATTACTGGAAAAAAATTAACTTTTCCACGATATTCAAATTTTTTGAGATGTACCTGTATGCTGTAGTTTAGTATGAGTAAAGAAATAACGGTTTATGTGAGTGTATTATGATTATATTACACCGCAGCACTGCTGAATTCTCTAATCTGACTGGTCATGTTATGCTGTGTTTTAAGAGGAATTCTGTAATTTTCCAGGATGACCCTGAAAAGTAATCTTTAGGGTGAATGATAGAATCATTCTATTGACATATTGCATGTTTTAAATGTAAGCCAATGGGAAGCTGCCAGCAAAGGGTTGAAATGTGGTCGCTTTTTTGGGTCACAGTGAGGAATTGAAAATAGTTCAACTTTTTCTGGCCAATCAGGTTAAAAGTTGAGGGGGCAAGCAAGCAAAAAAAATAAACATGGAGGACAAACTGCTAGTGGAAAACATCAGACCACATCACATCACCCTATTGTTAATTTTTTTCCTATAACAGAATGTTTACAGTATTTCTTACTTAGCTGTTACATACATACAGTTGAGTTGTGTTGAACATACTGTGATATTTGACTGTACTTTGGCTGCAGGAGGAAGAGTGAAGACATGGAAGAGGAGATGGTTCATCTTGACTGATAACTGTCTCTACTATTTTGAATACACCGCAGTGAGTAAATATTCATATATTTTGGTATGGTATCTTCAACATCATCTTAACCTTTATTTAATCCAGAAAACTCATTGAATGTTTGGATTGTAGGACAAAGAACCAAGGGGGATCATTCCTCTAGAGAACCTCTGTGTCAGAGAAGTCATCTACACACGCAAACCGGTGAGCTCACAGGCAGTTTGAAAGAACAGATATGTTGACTTCTTTGCAGTCATGCTTTGGAGGAGAGAGAATACTTCTGATTAATTGATGAGTTACTATTCGGGCAGTGCTAGCAAAGTGGTTAAGATGTTCAACTATTCACCAGAAGGTTGTGAGTTCAAATCCCAGCACTGCCAATCTGACACTGTTGTGCCCTTGGCCCAGGCCCTTAACCCTCAACTGCTCATCTGTATAAATTAAATAAACCTAAGTTGCTTTGGGTAAGGGTGTCTGCCAAATGCTGTAAATGATTTGCTGTAAATGCTGTCAATTGCACTTGGAGGAGTGAAGACTCTAGTTTCAGGAAACTATTGATGCTTCTTCTTTGTGCTGGAACTTTAGTTATTGCATAACTGTATTTCATGTGTTTGTGTTTCTGTGTGTCTGTAAGGGAAAGTACATCATCATTTACATTGAACCTTTTGACATCTGTGAATGTATGTGTCAGACTTTTGCACATATGCCTCCTGTGAAAAATACTCAAAAACCATGGCAATGATTCTGCAAACAGTGAAATTACATTCTCACACTGATTGGTATGAGCCAATAAGCCCTTCTTGGATAGGTATGGAATAAATCATGATGTTATAGGAAATTAGTGTACAACTGGGTAATGTGGTGCATCCTGATTTGCATCAGAGTTACTGCAATTTTGCTAGTAACAGATTCACCTAAACTGGATAGTTGAATATTGGAAAAATGTGATCTTTTTCCAATCTTGAGCTCTAACTTTTCTTGAGTCTGTGCTTATTATAGACTCAGATTTCTGTTCCTGGCTGACAAGAGTGGAACCTGATGTGGTCTTCTGCTGTTGTAGCCTATCAGCCTCACAGTTTTTCATATTGTGTTCTGAGATGCTTTTCTGCTCACCACGATTGTAAAGAGTGGTTATTTGAGTTACCGTAGACAAGACACTTAGTTGATATGTAGACAAGCATCAACAAGACATTATCTGCCATAATGTAACTGTGTGGAACTGCCGCTCAGTGGGTGGTGTTTTTTCTTCTCTATTCTGAGCACACTTAAGAGGCTGTTATATGTGATTAATAACAGGATATCAGCAGTTTTTAAATTACTCAAAACAGCCCTTCTGGTACCAACAAACCATGGTCTAAGTCATGAAGGTCATGATATCCCCCACTCTGCTCTTTGACGTTAACAGTAATTGAAGATATAGACCTGTATTTTCATGACTGTATGAATTGTGCTGCTGCCACATGATTGGATGTTTGGATAACTGCTTAATTGAGCAGATATTATTGGTGTTCCTAATAAAATGGCCAGTGAGTGTATTTGTCTCATTGTGTATATGTATGTGCATGTGTTTGCAGTACTGTCTGGAGCTGTATAACCCCAACAGTAAAGGACAGAAGATCAAAGCATGCAAAACAGAGACAGATGGAAGGGTGGTGGAGGGGAAACATCAGAGCTACATGATATGTGCTTCAACAGCTGAAGAAAGAGATGACTGGATCGAAGCTATCAGGTCACACACCACCTTGATCTATAGTCTTATGCCACTCCTACCTTTTAATTGGGTTATGTTCACTGTATTTACCAGAAGATTCTATTTAAATTGCTCTTTTGTGGAATTTATGATTTGAGAAGTTATATGAACTCATAAATATGTTCATCAGTTGTGATACAAAGTTGACATTGCTTAATATAGCTACGAAAGCCTGATTCATTGGTAATTATAGTGTACTTTTAGTTGTATGTAGCTCTCTCTTAGTAATTTACCATCACATCTGAGGAAATATTGGTATCCCTGATACTTTTAGCTAGCTATGTTCATGCAAGCTATCTAAAAAGTTTTGGTTATTAGCTAACTTATGTGTAGCCTATAGTTACTCTAAGGTTTCAAAAGTAAAAAAAAAAAAGTTGCTACAAAATATACTCCTCAGTTGACACTTTTATTCAAGAAATGGGGCTGTATTTACTGTATTTACACTGTATTTACAGGAAGCCTCCATTTAAATGACCGTCCCTTGTGGTATTCAGGACTTCAAGAGTTGAAATTGTTCATGATTTGTGACACAATATTAACATTTGTTGGTGATTGCTAAGTGGAATTTTAGTTGTGTGTAGCATTTCCATAGTAATCTAGCAACAAATCAGAGGAAAATATTGATATTCTTGATGCTGCCATGCATTGCTAGCCTTGGTATTAGCCTGCTTATACTTAGGTGTTACCTAAAGTATAGAACAATTTTGCTGAAGAATATAAACCTAATTATTCTGTGAACATATGAGCATTTGGTATGTTCATTGCTCAGTAATTATAATACAATTTTAATTACATTTAGTATTTTAAAATAATTTACCAACAAATCTAAGGAAAATATTGATATTTCTGATACTATTAGCTAGCTGCCATGTATTTCTACCCTCGGTGATTAACTAACTTATTCTCAGTGTATAGTAAAGTACAGAACAACTTGGTTGAAAAATAGAAACCTATTAGTATACATTGTGTGTATTTCACAGTATAACTATGAATGTTTGGTGTTTACTAAGCATAATTATAGTGTCATTTTAGTTTTACGTAGCCTTTTCTTAATAATTCACCAGCACATGTGAGGTAAATATTGATAATTCTGATGTTTTTAGCTAGCTACATGTTTGTTAGATCTATCTTGATTTGAAACTGTCCATGAGTTATCTCATGAGTGACATAATGTTGATGTTTTTTAATATTTCTATGGAAATTTGGCTGGTTAGTAATTGCTAAGTGGAATTTGAATTATGCATATCCATTCTTTTAGTAATTTACTAGCACATCTGAGGAAAATGTAGCTATTCCTGATACTTTTAGCTAGCTACTTGGTAGCTAGCTAAATTGCTAGCTTTGGTTAATAGCTGAGCAATAGTTAGTACAGAACAATTTGGTTGAATAATAGAAACCTATTATGGAGTGTATTCAATGATATAGCATACAGTAGGGTTCAAGTACAGTTTTATTAGTTAATAGCTAATACACAAATGTGATTCGGCTGATACTTAATGTTTCAAAATAAATTATTTAATATTGGGACACTTTGTTTCAGCTGTTTGCATGCTGCTGGCCTAGTTGTTAGTTATTAGCTTTTTAGCTTCAGCCAAAAACTACAGACGGGTTAAGTTGATGTCTTATTTGTTATTTGTTGATGTCTTATTTGTTATTTTGGCTGCGCTCTAGCTTTAATGAGTAAAATACTGACACAATGATCTGAGTATTTTCTGTTACTAACCCACAGGGCGAGCATCACAAAGGATCCATTTTATGACCTGGTCTCAGTCAGGAAGAAGAAAGTCATACAGCAAACACCACAGGACTGACCACAACAGAGCATCATGGGATGTGGAATGAGAAGTGACAAACACTGCAGTCTGCATGTAGCAGAAACAGAATGACTAAACGTTTACTCATTACTCACGTCACTGTGTATAACCAGGACCTGAAGAGAAGCAGTCCTTTTTGTCTCTGCTGTTTGTGTGGAACAAATAGTTTGTAGCATGACCAGTCATTTTTAAAAGACCTACAATCAAATTGCCTAAAGAGGTAATTTAAAGGCCTTGGGAAAGCAGTTTTTAGATCCAAGTATTATTAATGTACTTTTATATTTTTGGTCTTATGGACCTGCATGGCATCTTAAGATGTTTTGGAATAATAGCCATAGTGGACATTCTGAAGCGAATGCTTTCATTGTGGGAAATGAAGCCACCTCAGCGAGACTGTCAGTGTAGGAAGTGTGTTTTTTCTTTGCACACACGAGCCAATCTGATGACTTTGTTGAATACTCCAGCACTTAACACCGGCTCATTTAATGGTTCGATGTTTGGACATCACCTCACTTGTCTTGTTGTTTCAGATTAAAAATCAAATTCCTAACAAATCAATGTAAATAGGTGTGATGGTATAGATGCTATTCAAATCATAACACTTATAGTAGGCTCCAAAGACACAGAGTTGAACTGATTTCATCACACTGATGTCATGGAGCCAGACTAAGAGTTAAGCATACAGTGAGGATTTAATACAGAAATTACACACATCAGTTTTCAGACCTCAGATGTAGCTACTAATGTATAGTAAGTGCTATTCAGAAGTTACACACATGGGGTGGATTTTGCCTAAAACAGAGGTGTTTTCTGTTTTTTTAAGGTGTTTTCTGAATTTTATGCTGAAATTTAAGCTTTAGGCTGTAAATACACTTAAAATAGAATGCCAGTTGAGGTCAATATTAAATACATATAATACATACATAAATATTGACATAACTTTTGGTCTTAAATCACCAGGTCAATCGATAAAAATTTATGAACAATTTATGCTAGATTTATATTTGTAAAGAATGATATAATCATTCTATTGACATATTGCATGTTTTAAATGTAAGCCAATGTGAAGCTGCCAGCAAAGGGTTGAAATGTGGTCGCTTTTTTGGGTCACAATGAGGAATCTTTTTCTGGCCAATTAGGTTAAAAGTTGAGGGGGCAAGCAAGCAAAACAAACATGGAGGACAAACTGCTAGTGGAAAAGGCTACGTGAGTTCTTATAAATAAAATTGTCACAAATGGAAAATATTTCATTGCCAATATTCCAACATTGCAATGAACCATATAAATTAATCAAATTGTCTATATTTGGGGCATTCACCAGATTCAAATGTGACATCCCACTTTAACTGTGACTGCATACACTCAAATCTTCTCTTGATTTTCCTTTATTTCATATTTGTTGTTACTACTAATGATAATCTAATCTAGATAACAAGCTAGCTTAGTTAGTTAGCTGAAACTATCTAGGCCTGGAATGAGCATTTTTATGGTTACACGTCTCATAAACTGCTTTTCTCCGCCCCACAAAACATTCCACGGCTAGCATTTTTTTTCTTTTAAAGAACAAAAAATAAATAAAAATGGGTGAACGCTGCCTTAAAGTGTTAAGTAGTGGACTAAACCTGTAATGTGCAAAGTCAATAACAGGATTCCTGTGTTTACTCTTTGTTGTATATATAGGTTATAATTTATTCATATACACCATATGTGGTGTGTATATTAAACCTGAATAAGAGTTTTATTATTTATCAGCAAACAAAGAATATAAATGTAAACTTCGCTGTACATGTACTATTTTACACATCGGATGTACAGT